TCCTCTAGGAGGGCCTGGCAGGAAGTGTTCTTACCTCTCCCCGCTCGGTAATCCTCTAGGAGGGCCTGGCAGGAAGTGTTCTTACCGCTCCCCGCTCGGTAATCCCCTAGCAGGGCCTGACAGGAAGTGTTCTTACCTCTCCCCGCTCGGTAATCCTCTAGCAGGGCCTGACAGGAAGTGTTCTTACCGCTCACCGCTCGGTAATCCCCTAGCAGGGCCTGACAGGAAGTGAAGTAAAACGCCCCGCCCACTGCAGTCTTCACTCCTCAGTAAACTACCGCGGGGGAGAGTAGTGTGAACAGACACATCTCCTGCATCTTCACAGCCATCATACCACCAACAGCAGACAGTGTATTGTAGGAGGCACTATGCTGTGGACTGGCTGGAGTGAGGCAGCACAGCGACATTGCGCCTGACCCGGCCCCTGCTGGTACAACCCCACTGGGTGGCCCTAAGTGCATGAGCCACCCGGTGGGACTCCTTACAGTACGGGGCCTGCCTAAATCGACCAGGGAACTTTTTTTTTTTTTAGGGCAGCAGGGCCCACGTGGCAGCTGCCTTGGGCCCCCAGCAGTAACTGGGCCTGGGGCAGCTGCCCCGTTTGCACTGCGTTAAAGACGACTCTGCTGCCACTGGGGAGGAAGGACGACACCTTCTGCTCCCTGGGAGGCACACTGCTGCTGGGGAGGGAAACCGATTGTCTCCTCTCTCTGTGAGATGTACTGCCGCTGGGGAGTAGGACCGCCTGTCCTTATTCCCGGTACTTCCAGCTGCAGCTGGGGATCTGGGCTGACTGCCCAGCATCCCTGTAGGGCCGGTAGAGACTGTCAACCTGCCAGTTGGGGTTCCTCCCAGGACCAGTCTATGAGATCCTCCAGGACTTGGGATAGCAATTAGTCCTCTCCAGGCACAAGTGGCGATTTAGGACACCCACACACCGCTCAGGGGCGGTATAGCGAGTAGGGGCATAATTTACTAATACTAAGTAATTTTTACTTAGTATTAGTAAATTTGGCTAAAAGACAAATTTAGGTCTTTCAGCCTTTTGGTAGATAGCTCCCTAATACCGTGGGAATTAGGGAGTTATCTACTTACTCATTCCCCTTCATTGACCGGTATTTTATATGAACGTGTTAATTGATTGTTGTAAGTGTTGCAAATGTTTACAGCTGAATCCTGGCTTTGTTTGTATACTTTTTATTTAAACTGGGTACATTATTACTTCCGCACTTCAGCCATTTAGACATTCGGCACTTTGTAACTTCAGCAGTTCAGTTTGGTTCGGCATTCCGAAATTCTGCACTTCAGAAATTCGGAAATTCAGCTATTCGGACATTCAGAAGTATCCGAATGTCCGAATTGCCCGAAATTCGGAACAAAACGAACCTTGCACATGGAAACCTGGTCCGAGAGTGCGTTCCTGATCTTGATTTTCTGGCATTTTCCTTTGACTTCCCTGAATTCTGGTATCCTTGACTTTTGTAGTGAGTCTCTCCGGCCGCCGGGTGTCGCTGTGTTTTGATGCAGTGAGGGTCTCCGGCCGCCGGGTGTCGCTGTGTTTGGATGCAGTGAGTCTCTCCGGCCGCCGGGTGTCGCTGTGTTTGGATGCAGTGAGTCTCTCCGGCCGCCGGGTGTCGCTGTGTTTGGATGCAGTGAGTCTCTCCGGCCGCCGGGTGTCGCTGTGTTTGGATGCAGTGAGTCTCTCCGGCCGCCGGGTGTCGCTGTGTTTGGATGCAGTGAGTCTCTCCGGCCGCCGGGTGTCGCTGTGTTTGGATGCAGTGAGTCTCTCCGGCCGCCGGGTGTCGCTGTGTTTGGATGCAGTGAGTCTCTCCGGCCGCCGGGTGTCGCTGTGTTTGGATGCAGTGAGTCTCTCCGGCCGCCGGGTGTCGCTGTGTTTGGATGCAGTGAGTCTCTCCGGCCGCCGGGTGTCGCTGTGTTTGGATGCAGTGAGTCTCTCCGGCCGCCGGGTGTCGCTGTGTTTGGATGCAGTGAGTCTCTCCGGCCGCCGGGTGTCGCTGTGTTTGGATGCAGTGAGTCTCTCCGGCCGCCGGGTGTCGCTGTGTTTGGATGCAGTGAGTCTCTCCGGCCGCCGGGTGTCGCTGTGTTTGGATGCAGTGAGTCTCTCCGGCCGCCGGGTGTCGCTGTGTTTGGATGCAGTGAGGGTCTCCGGCCGCCGGGTGGCGCTGTGTTTGGATGCAGTGAGGGTCTCCGGCCGCCGGGTGTCGCTGTGTTTGGATGCAGTGAGTCTCTCCGGCCGCCGGGTGTCGCTGTGTTTGGATGCAGTGAGTCTCTCCGGCCGCCGGGTGTCGCTGTGTTTGGATGCAGTGAGTCTCTCCGGCCGCCGGGTGTCGCTGTGTTTGGATGCAGTGAGTCTCTCCGGCCGCCGGGTGTCGCTGTGTTTGGATGCAGTGAGTCTCTCCGGCCGCCGGGTGTCGCTGTGTTTGGATGCAGTGAGTCTCTCCGGCCGCCGGGTGTCGCTGTGTTTGGATGCAGTGAGTCTCTCCGGCCGCCGGGTGTCGCTGTGTTTGGATGCAGTGAGTCTCTCCGGCCGCCGGGTGTCGCTGTGTTTGGATGCAGTGAGTCTCTCCGGCCGCCGGGTGTCGCTGTGTTTGGATGCAGTGAGTCTCTCCGGCCGCCGGGTGTCGCTGTGTTTGGATGCAGTGAGTCTCTCCGGCCGCCGGGTGTCGCTGTGTTTGGATGCAGTGAGTCTCTCCGGCCGCCGGGTGTCGCTGTGTTTGGATGCAGTGAGTCTCTCCGGCCGCCGGGTGTCGCTGTGTTTGGATGCAGTGAGTCTCTCCGGCCGCCGGGTGTCGCTGTGTTTGGATGCAGTGAGGGTCTCCGGCCGCCGGGTGGTCGCTGTGTTTGGATGCAGTGAGTCTCTCCGGCCGCCGGGTGTCGCTGTGTTTGGATGCAGTGAGTCTCTCCGGCCGCCGGGTGTCGCTGTGTTTGGATGCAGTGAGTCTCTCCGGCCGCCGGGTGTCGCTGTGTTTGGATGCAGTGAGGGTCTCCGGCCGCCGGGTGTCGCTGTGTTTGGATGCAGTGAGTCTCTCCGGCCGCCGGGTGTCGCTGTGTTCGGATGCAGTGAGTCTCTCCGGCCGCCGGGTGTCGCTGTGTTCGGATGCAGTGAGGGTCTCCGGCCGCCGGGTGTCGCTGTGTTCGGATGCAGTGAGTCTCTCCGGCCGCCGGGTGGCGCTGTGTTCGGATGCAGTGAGGGTCTCCGGCCGCCGGGTGTCGCTGTGTTCGGATGCAGTGAGTCTCTCCGGCCGCCGGGTGTCGCTGTGTTTGGATGCAGTGAGTCTCTCCGGCCGCCGGGTGTCGCTGTGTTTGGATGCAGTGAGTCTCTCCGGCCGCCGGGTGTCGCTGTGTTTGGATGCAGTGAGTCTCTCCGGCCGCCGGGTGTCGCTGTGTTTGGATGCAGTGAGTCTCTCCGGCCGCCGGGTGTCGCTGTGTTTGGATGCAGTGAGTCTCTCCGGCCGCCGGGTGTCGCTGTGTTTGGATGCAGTGAGTCTCTCCGGCCGCCGGGTGTCGCTGTGTTTGGATGCAGTGAGTCTCTCCGGCCGCCGGGTGTCGCTGTGTTTGGATGCAGTGAGTCTCTCCGGCCGCCGGGTGTCGCTGTGTTTGGATGCAGTGAGTCTCTCCGGCCGCCGGGTGGCGCTGTGTTTGGATGCAGTGAGTCTCTCCGGCCGCCGGGTGGCGCTGTGTTTGGATGCAGTGAGTCTCTCCGGCCGCCGGGTGGCGCTGTGTTTGGATGCAGTGAGTCTCTCCGGCCGCCGGGTGGCGCTGTGTTTGGATGCAGTGAGTCTCTCCGGCCGCCGGGTGGCGCTGTGTTTGGATGCAGTGAGTCTCTCCGGCCGCCGGGTGTCGCTGTGTTTGGATGCAGTGAGTCTCTCCGGCCGCCGGGTGTCGCTGTGTTTGGATGCAGTGAGTCTCTCCGGCCGCCGGGTGTCGCTGTGTTTGGATGCAGTGAGGCTCTCCGGCCGCCGGGTGTCGCTGTGTTTGGATGCAGTGAGTCTCTCCGGCCGCCGGGTGTCGCTGTGTTTGGATGCAGTGAGTCTCTCCGGCCGCCGGGTGTCGCTGTGTTTGGATGCGGTGAGTCTCTCCGGCCGCCGGGTGGCGCTGTGTTTGGATGCAGTGAGGGTCTCCGGCCGCCGGGTGTCGCTGTGTTTGGATGCAGTCAGTCTCTCCG